TGCCCCCCCACCCCCACCCACTACCGCAGCCGGTTAGGACCGGTGTGTGTGGCTGTCTTCCCCTCCCCCTGGGGCGGGACTCATTTCGGAGTGGCACTGGCCCTCGTTGGGGCTGCTTGCGCCCCGCCAGGCTTGCAGCCCCGGTTTGGATGAGCTGGATCCACAAAGCGCAAAACGTGGTGTTAGCAAGGTTCATGCCAATCTTCTGGTTGCAGGGGACCCACAGCACAGGGACTGGGGTGGGCCCAGCAGAGGGGGTGGTGTGATTTAAGTCAGGTAGCAAGTGTAGGCGCTGCCCTGGTTCCCACAGGTGGCCACGTGCTTATGCTGAGGGACAGAGTAAGGAAATGGTGCCTGCCAGCTCCTTGGTTCCTAGAGAAGTCCCTCAGTGAAGTCTGAAAGGAGTAAACACTTCTGCCTCCCACAGGCCCCAAACTGCTGCTTAGTACTCTCTAACTCCGCGGGCTGTTTGTTGTGCTGTCTAATGGTGGGGACTCAGTTTCCCCTTACCTATTGGCCGTTCCAGAGCTGGGCGTGCCAATTTTTAAAATTCCAGGTTTTTAGTCCTGATGGTTGTAAGAATTCACAAAATTCAGCCCTTCTGGTTTTCAAAGCCAGATGTCACGGGGATTCTCTTGCCCACGTGGGATCCCTGCTGTGAGGGTCTGTTTCTCTCCCCCCTCCCTGCACCTGTGGCTCCCTCTCTCCCGCAGATGGCCTGCAGTCCACTGAGCTGCCCACTGCGTCCCTGCCCTTCCTGCCATCTTCCATGTGGCCTTTTCTCTATATTTAGTTGTAGCGTCTGTGTGGCCAGTCTTCAGGCCACTTTCTGGGTTATTTACTGATGTGGCTGTTCTCTAGCTGTATCCGGCGTGGACGAGGTGAGCTGAGGGTCCTCCTGCTCTGCCCTCTTCCCAGCAATCTCATTCCAGGAAGAGGAGAAGGACCAGTACAATTCTCATTCTCACATCTTTTCAAGAAAAAACTGTATAGTAAAACTATTACATGCCAATTTTTTCCCTCAAATAATTTAACTTACTGAAACCTTGTTACAGAAATACTCAGAGCCATACCTTAAATATTACTTTTCGGTAGGTCTCTAATTCGGCGTCTGTATGCAAAGACTAGCTCTAAGATCATGTTGGGTATTATAAAAACATGAAACGTATTTTTAAAGCAACTCTTTGTCTGTTCGCTAAGTACTCCTCTCTGTGATTAGCAGAAGATAATTTATCTGTTGTTGACCAATGATTTGTAAAAGCCACCCATACCTGTTCAAGGAGACAGGGGTGACTGGCTTGAATCTGACTGATGAACTCGTGTCCTTTGATTCGTATCAAATACTCACACCTGAAACACGAACAAAGTTAAGTCTGGGGGGTTGTTTTAACCCCATTATTTGTAGGCAGCTAAGTATTTCCAGTGAACATAAACGTACATATCAGCACTTAACATTCATTTCACACACGGGAAGAGGCAAGATGCCGTAAGTGAGAGACTGCACACAGTGCCTCACCAACGCTGAAGCTACAAGGCTCACGGGGCTCTCAGTCTCCACTGGGAGCTCCCGGCTGTGCTCTTCAAAATTTCGCAGATTGCCAAATACACTCTGAACACTGAGAACAGAGTCAAGAGACAGGGAGAAAGTTCTCTAATAAATAATGCTGCTCTCTCATAAACCCTGCACGTTTAAAAGTTAAAAATACACGAAGCAGGACAAGAGAGGAATAATGAGGAAGGTGAACACATTTTCTAACAAGACAGATGGTCCCAAGTCAGCAGTTCCTAGATCATACACACCCACTGTCACCCAAGTGTAAAAGGAACCCAGATTCACCCTTGCCTTTATACATTCTCAAAGTTTCCGCAACGGAAAGCTAGGAGCACTTCTTAGAGACACTAGAAGTTTTGACCATGAACAATACCATCAGAAGCCTCTTGACTTCAATTTCAAAACAAGAGCACAAATAAGCATGGAATAATCAAAAGTAAGTGTAGGAACTGACAAGGAAATGTTCTGTAGTGACTAAAGGAGGAGAGATGTGTCTATATTGACCCGGATCACCCTATTTAATACCCCAACCTGCTTGGTGCTTCTGATTTTTCTCACCGTCCTGTTTTCTCTCGTTGTCTGTAGCACTTGCTATCTTCCGACGTGCTACATAATTTATTAAGTTTTTATGAACTGTCTGCTTCTCTGGCTATTAAGTTAATGTGTGAGACCAAGGATCTTGGGTTTGTTCAACTGAGTATTTTAACCCCCTGGAACACTGCCTGGCAACAGATGATCAATTAACATGAAATGCTGAATAAATGGAAATATGTCCAAGACATGAGGCTAACTGAAAAAAGGTTTCAAAACGGTATACAGAATATCTAATTCACTTAATACTGTATACGTTCATCTACCGATGTACGTATGTTTCAAGAGGTGTCTGGAGGGATATTCACTAAAATGCTCACTGTGGTCCTCTTTAGATAATGAGGTTTCTGGACTTTTACATTTTCTTCTCTGTACTTCTCTACGAGGTGTGTACACAGGAAACCATAAACCTGTATCTTCCGTCAAAACGGTTATTTTTCTAAGCAATTCATCCTAAATTTATTCACGAGTGCATTTTTGAAAGAAAGACTAAAGCAACAGCCGACTGTCAGGTAAACACAAATAACCCGTCCCATAACGATGACAAACGTTTGCACGGAGGTTTTCAAAACAATCACCTTGGAAACCACTTGGCGTGCTCCACCCACGGGTCGTCTCCTGATTCCCAGCAGCGCAGTCCACCGTCGCAGCAAAAGCATTTGACGTCATCACTGTGCCCTGAAACGAATTTTGGACCAAGACTCGTGAATACACACAAGGTGCCCACTACGACGAGCTAAGGCACGACACGCGGGCCGTTCTCCCGCGACCGCACGAGGCCCCTCACCCATGTAGTAGAAGCCAGCCAGGGCCAGCTGCTCGGGGAGAACAGGCACGCTGGGGGGCCAGCTGCAGAAGCTTCGGGAGCGGGCCGCGTGCGTCTGCATGCTCCGGTTGGACACGGCGCACCGCAAGGTGTCCTGAAGCCGGCTTTCTGCGAACGGGCAGGAGGGGAAGTGTCTCAGGTGCTCTGACAGGGCGTCGTCGTCCGGCTCCCAGTTACTCAGTCTCCCGCCGCAGGCGAAGCAGGCCACCTTGTCCCCAGGGCCCAGGTAGTAAAATCCAGCTCTGGCCAGCTGCTCCGGCAGCGGGAAGGTCAAGGGCCAGCCCTGGAACGAGTGCAATCTGGCTTCCTCGGCCTCCATCGCACGGTGGTGGGGACTCGTCCTCCGGGGACAGAGACCTTGGTTTGCTCTGAAGGTCACAGGGTTCTGCGGGAAGGTGGCGCAGGAGCGGCTAGGACAGCCCCCGTTTTCCACGCTGGGAGGCGGCAAGAGCCTGGAGCTCGTCCCTGAGGAAGGACAGGTGGGCTGAGAGGGGGCGCCCGAAGCGCTCACCGGATTTAGACTCTGGATGAAGCTGCAGCTGGGGTACAGCCTCCGATGCTTCTCCAGGGGACTGTCCCCCTGCTTCCAGTTGTCCAGCGTCAGGCCGCAGCAGAAGCACCGGACCCTGTCCTTCCGGCCCGTGTAGTAGAACCCGGCCCGGGCCAGGCTCCGCTCCGAGACAGGGGCGCCGGCGGGGAAGGCCGAGAACGTGGACATTCGGTACAGCTCACACGAGTGGTCGTATTTCAGCCCCGACACGGTGCCGCCTTTCAGCAGCTTTGATGACAATGTGCTGTTTGCTCCGATGTTCATGACGAAACGGACGGGGTGGCAAAGGGACCAGCCTTTCTCTGGGGAGGTAGCTTTGTGCATGGCTCTGGACGGTGGTTACTTTTATCACTAGGCGGACACCCAGAACAGGAAGTCTCTTGTCCTTCTTTCCCTCTGTGTATTCAGGGCTTCCGCATGGTGAGATTCTAAGCTCGACGCTGACACGCGGTAGGGGGAGAGTGTGTGCAACTGCACTTTTCCATAATCTTTACACACACACCGCGAGCACGATGGCACACGGCACCTCGTCGTGGAAATCAAAACCCTGCGCACAAGCGGGGAGCGCTTCAGGTCACCAAGATGCCACTCGGCGTCGGGCACCCCTGTAGGCAGGACAGCGCCTCGGCGGGGGGGGGGGCTTCACGGTGCCCGGCTGGCCTGGAGACCAGGCGTGGGGCTCACACTGCCAGCCTGTTTTCGGGGAGGAAACCTATGCCCTGTACGTGCTCCACAGAAAAAAATCCAAACTATGTTTATTTTGCTTTTTTTTAATTATGAAATTTGGTAGCCAGAAGAAAAGCGTAAGACCTGCCTGAACAGAAGAAACAAGTACATTGGGGTCATTTCACCGATTGTAGGATGTATCTTTTTAACACCTCTGTTACCAAGAGGTATCTTTCAGCTAACAAATACCGTATTTTAATTAGCAGGGCTTTTATCTCTTGGAGCTATATAAAATAATGGTGTGTTTTCCAATTAGTGACATCTTAGATGCGATGGAATACAATCTACCCCAAATCGTGCTCAAATTAAGTAATTTTTCTTCCTAGAATATTTGTAATAGGAACAACAAAACGATCTAGAATTTTCCTACAAATGAAGAGCTGAAGTGGGAACAGAATTGGCTGATGCATCTTAAGTCCTGTTTCAAAATTACCTGAACGACAATTACTTCCCATAGTCAGCAGCTTGGTTACTTAGTCCTAGTGATTCCAGTAGAACTTAGCAAACTGAATACTGTATTTCAAATAAATCCTCAAAGAAGAATGTGTTTGTTCAACTGGTCTTTTTAGGCTCAGCTTCACGCCGTTGAAAGACACTACCAAATCTATTCTGACAATGGATTTGTTTCTTAAAACAGTCAAAAGTCAGAGGGCTGAGTCTGTATACTAAGATGAATAATCGAAGTGTACAAATGTGGCTTTGGTCAGAAATCCCAAAGACAGCATACCTTGAGCCAGAATTCATCGCAACAAGAAAATGATGAATTTACGTTGTCACAATCCCCTCCTTTTGCCAAACAGAGACCTTGTGAAAGTTCAGAGTTTCTCAATTAAGACCAGCTATCAGTTAAAAGTTTCTGTGTCAGTAACATGAACAACAATCTGCAAACGGGTCTTCGTGGCTTCTCTAGCCGTGATTTCTGCGCAGTTTCCTGGGTCCCACAGGTGTTGGGGTTTCCGCTGCGACTTTGGCTCTTTACTTCCAGGTGATATGAGAAACGTAGCTCTGTTCCAGGGATCAGTTATTGTGTCTAACATCAGCAGTGGACAAAAATTTTACACATTACTGCAGAAACCCTTCCGGGGCTAGTCACTGTGTCTGCGTAAGTCTGTTGTTTTCCCAAAATGGACCATCCAGCCATCATTCTCACCGTCATCCTTCTCAGAGATAACAGCCCATTCAAACAAGCCGAACTTGAGACTTTTAACACATGCACATTCAGATAAGTGCTTAGATCATTCTTTTACCAATCATCCATGCTAGTGTGCCATACTCGACACTAGGGGCACCGCAAAGTCTTGTTCTGGACATTTCTTTGTCACCATGGAAGTCTCTTGACCTGTCAGAGGCCTCACCTGCGTGCTTCTCTAACTTAGTAGAGGGGTGAATATTGTTCTAGATAACTGTCGCTCATTTTCAGGTCTGTACCAAACACAAGTTCCTTCTCTCTGTTCTGTTCTGGCTACAATCACTTCCCTTTATATCCACCAGTCAAATTCAAAGACGAGATCATCATGACTTTATAGTTACACCTCATGCCAATAGACTGTATTGTTTAAAATTAACATCCTTTGGGATAATAAAAACTCCAGTTCACACTTAATTTGTTTCTTCATGCACAAAACTACCTCCCGGAGATCAGACTAAGTCCCTTTTAAGGGTGTTAGGCCTCCATTTTGAGATGTTTTGATGTATGGGGAAAAAAATGGAAAAAATCTAGAGGTAGAACACTTTGCCTCTTTTGTAAAACCTGTTTAAAACGAGAAAAAGACAGTTTTAAAAGTCAAATACCTCACAGATACAACACAACGATCTCCCTGTAAACATGTTTTTCAAGCCAGAGCACTAGTGTCGGCTGATTGGCGACCTTGCCCAACACACGGTGCTGTGTGATGCACTGCAGAGGCCACGAAATCCCAAGTGAAAACCAGAGGGCTCCAGCGGGTGGCCAGCAAGGGCATTATTATGTTCAGCTTTCACAGAATTGGGTCTCGGTATTTTATTCATTTTTTTAACTTTGGATTTTGAAATGAATTCATACATACAGAAAAGTTACAGAAACGGGAGGGTTCCCACATACCCTATGCTCAACTTCTCCAAAGCTACTATCTTACGTGATCGTGGGACAACTGTAGAGGCCAGGAAATTAACACGGATACAGTGCTGTTACTTAATGTACTTGCCCTGCTTCATTACTAACACTGTTAAAAGTAAGAGATTTCCCATGACCCTAGATCCCACGTCCTTGTGAAAACCAGACTGCCAACAGTGGGTGACAAGCGGCCGGCGGGCACACAGCGGCTTCATCTCTCACACAGGGCACACGCCCCAGCCCTCTGATACGGATACATTTGTCCCTGAACTGGAACTGTGGTTTTTCTCACAGTACGGTCAGCATGGGAGTGAGACTGCTCTAATACCTGTGTCTGTCAAAAGTACCAAAAATGCAAGGTGGACAAAGAGAGACAAGTTTGGAGAAAAATGAGAGTCCTGTATTTGTGGAGAAGAAGAATATTCCTATGTGTTAAATGCATAAATAGAGTGGGGTTTCGTTTAAAAGAGACACCCCCAGATCTGTTCGCTCTGTCACCTGCCTGGCCTCTATACATCTGAGACTGTGAACTGCTTACAGAGGCCTTACGCTGAAGAAGCCTGGGGATGGACACAGGCACATGCATGCCTGCGGAAATACAGGCAACAGTTGTATGATAAAGTACAAAAAAATGCCCACCCCAGATGGATTCAAACCCTCTTACCCTCTTCCAGCACGCAGACCCCAAATATGATGGGGACCCCTGAGGCCTCCCTGCAAGCTTGAGGACCTCCACAGCCCTCCTCCCAGACTGGGGATCCCAATGGCCTCCTCCCAGGCTGGGGACCCTCACGCCTCCTGCCCCAGGCTGGGGGCCCACAGTCTCCTCCCAGGCTGGGGACCCCAGTGGCCCTCCCCCCAGGATGGGGCCCTCCCCTGCGGCCCTCCCCCCAGGCTGGGGACCCTCACGCCTCCTGCCCCAGGCTGGGGACCCCAGTGGCCCTCCCCCCAGGATGGGGCCCTCCCCTGCGGCCCTCCCCCCAGGCTGGGGACCCTCACGCCTCCCGCCCCAGGCTGGGGACCCCAGTGGCCCTCCCCCAGGATGAGGCCCTCCCCTGCGGCCCTCCCCCCAGGCTGGGGACTCTCATGCCTCCCGCCCTAGGCTGGGGACTAGCACAGCCACAGCTCTGGTGAGCTAGGCAGCTCCTTGGCCCCTGCAAGTCTGCAAACCTGCAGGGCCCTCCTCAAATTTCTCCTCCACTGGCCCGCATCCTGTTTGCTAGACTGCTGTGCCTTCTGTTAGAGACCTTCACTTCCACAAACCCATGCCTTTCTGCCTCACAACCTACCCGCTGCCTCAGAAATCCTGCTCTCCGCCCCAGTCCCTCACCCCTTCCTCTCTGTGGACCCTTCCCTCGATGTAGCAAGCAAGCTTAAGTCTGTCTCAGTTTCAAAATGAAAACACCAACAAAAATCCTCTCTCGATCCCACTTTCCATTCTGGCGACTACCGCGGACCCCTGGACAATGCAAGGTCAGGGGCACCCGCCCCTCTCCCCAGGCTGTTGAAAATCTGAGCGTAACTGCTGACTCCCGAAGACCTTAGTAACACACTACAGTTGACAGGAGCCTTACAGATGGCACTTGACTAATGCATATTTACATGTTATATGTACTATGCACTGTATTTTTATAATAAAGCCAGCTAGAGAAAAGAAAATGTTAAGAAAACCAAAGGAAAATACATTTACAACGCTGTGCCGTACTCAGGGGAACCACAGGCACATAAGGGGACCTGCGCGGTTCAAACCCTGCTGTCAAGGCCCAGGTGGTGCCTGCGTCTCACCTTGTCTTCACCGCCAAGGGCCTCGGGTGAGACCCCCTGTTCAATTACATTCAGCCAGCACCACTTAAAAGTGCTGTCGATATTGTTAACGCCAACGCCTTCTTCCCCACAACCAGGGGAAATTACATTTGGCCCTGGCGCCTCTTAGATATGTCCCAGTCCCCTGGCTACTGTGATGCCACCCTCTGGGGACTCCTGTCTCCTTTCTAGCGGTTCCTTCACAGAATCAGCCTCTTCTTACCCTTAGCGTGACGTGGGCAACCTTCCTGATCCCAGGGCTGGTGGCCGTCTCTACCGACTTGGGCGCTTGACAAATGCACAGCTGTGACCCTGGCCCCTTTCTGCCTCCCTGGACTGTGAGCTCCTCCGGATCAGAACCAGGTTTCAGCCCTGGATGGCCCACCCACTGCCGGCATCCGCCGGGGCACCATGCGGAAGGCAGACACGAAGTTCAGAGTGAATGTTAGCAAAGTTGACTGAGTGCCCAGTGATGACAACGCCCTCACGGTCACCGGCACAGCATTAAGAACATCAATTTTACAGTAATGACTCCCAAGTCTGCTCCCCGACGGTTTCATACGAGGGTCTGAAGTCAGGCTTCCTACGTTTCCACTCAGGTGACCGAGACCGGAGGGGTGCCCTTGGGCAAGAAAACGTCCCTGAGCCTGAGTTCCCTCATTGTCCACGGAGATAATAACGGTACCCCTTTCTGGAGACCGTG